TCACGGACCCTCCCTCTCTGCTTTTTGTAACGCCTGGAAAGTGAGTACGGGTCGGAGCAGCTCCCTGCGCCTCGTCTTTTTCTCGGCCTTTGTTCACTAAATCGGCCCGCCGCGCTGGCCCGGGTCTGACGGGCTGCACAGCTGATCCCTTCGGACTGGATCTGAGCGATCATTTGGGGCCGGACGGTTAGAAGTGTTCAGACTGCTGCAGGGCGAAAATGGGCAGCCGATGAGGTCTTGAGTAACGGCTTTTCTCACTCATCATTTAGGGGTTTTTTTTTGTTTGTTTTCTGGACGAGTAACGGCTTAGCGCTTCTGAAATGGTAACTGGGCATCTTTACCGCGCTACTTAAAATAAGGGTCCTTCGGGCCAGGTTTCCACACAGCGTTGTGCTGCTGGGCTGAAATGGGTTTAGAAATCAGATCAGGTGAGTTGGCAACTGCGCCGGTCGCTTGCTCATTGAAACGAGGAATTCTAGCAAGGGCTCGGTGCCGTTGCTTGTGGTTTGGTACAGAGCAGCTGCACTGGGGAAGCTGTGGCGCGGCACGAACCGCTGCTGCAGGATACGGGCCTGCAAGCTGACGGCACGCAGAAATCGCCCAGCGTGATTGCTGACAGAAATTACTGTGTGCAGTGGTGAACAAAGTAACTTCTGTACGTAAGAAGATGGAAATAACTAGCGATTTGTTTTTCAAAAGGCGGATCAAATCGATGAAATTTCGATACTGTCCTACACCTTCCTCTGCTAGAAATACTCCTACCCTCTTTCCCAAAAAAGAAAAAAAAAAATCTTGACCTGACTTGGTACGCTTAGTACCGGTATGATGGCACAGAATCCGTGTTAAAAAGTTTTCAGAAGGAAAAACACAAAGTTCCTTTGGGGATTATATTCTTGCATTTACTTCTATTCGCACGTTAGTGATACCAACTGGACCACAACCAAGTGTGTATGTAGATGTTTTCAAGGTTAAGATGTATTTTGCTATTATGCATAGCCTTTCTTTTTCAATTTCCTTGAATTCAGCTATAAATATGTGCACTCTAGAAATAATGACATAGTGTAGTCGTCATTAACTCATCGTATTGGGAGTATGTGTGTCTGTAGCAGTGGACACTAGAAAGTGCCTAAGAAAGAGTGCAGAGATAGGACATCATAGGATGCCTTAATGCCCTGAGTGCAACCATCTGTGGCTCTAGCACTTTCTGAATCAGAAGTGTTGTCTTATTTTTAGCAGTTCTCTGTAGATTTTTACTCCACAAATTTGCCCAGTCTTTTTTTTTTTAAGTCCACGTAAACTTTTGACATCTGCAGTGTACTACAGGAAGAGCTCCGTGCTCCATGCAACATGACTGCGTTGTGTGAAAAGTGGTTTTGTTTTTTTTTAAAGTTTCCTATCTGTCTTAGTTGATATTCTTCTCATTTTGGTAGAAACAATGAACAGCTGCTCTCTAGTCACCTTCTCTCTTCAACTCGTGATTTTGTATCTTTCCTCAGTCTTGGAATTTCCGAGCTGAATAGTTTTAGTCTATTTGATTTTTTCACGTGTTACTATTAATCTTTTTTTTTTAAATTATTTGTTTATTTTTGAGCACTACTACATGCTTTCAGAGGTGAGGAGACCAGGATTTACACACAGTATTCAAAATACAAGAGCAGTCAAAACAATGGTTTTCATGTCATTATCCAGTTCTTCCCTTATGATTCCTGTCATTTATTTGTTTTGCTTTGTTAGGGAGGTGAGAAAGCAGATAAACAGAGCATTGTTGAATGTTGTTCTGTTGCACATTGAACAAACATTGAACATTGTTTTCATAGCATTAACTGTATAGATCCTGGGATCTGTTTTCTGACTGTTAACATCTACATCCACTAGATAGTTTCATAGGTAAGGATAGGATTTTTTTCAATATTTACATTATGGTTATCTACATTAAATTTCACCTGCCTATGCGCTCAGGATAGTGAGGCTGTATGCAGATTCACTCAGCCAGCTCTATTTTTACTACCCTCAGTAACTTAGTATCAACAGCATACTTCACCACCTTACCATTTATTTGTTTTCAGATAATTTACCATGAATTAATTAGCTTTTATGCCGGTGGTAAGTCTGTGCAAAAACACCCTGAAGATATGTATACACAATTCCAAAACATAATGGCAATACAGCTGTTCTCTGGTAGCATCGCTGTTGCCTAACAATACTCTTTCTAGCATATTCCAGGCCCATCCTGAGGAGTTTACAATCTAATTATGAACGATTTCAGTACAAAGAAAACTTGTTTTGAGTAGTTCAGCATCTACCATGAATTAGAAGAGCGTTAACGCCACCTATGTAACAGTGGCTATTGATACTATGGCCTTGATGTACAAACAAACGTCTTCAGTTGCTATTTGGTAAGTTTCTAAATGAAAGCTGGGCAAATACAGAGTGGCTGTTTTCACTGTCTGTTCTCTGTTCCAAAACAGACTAACTAGAAAGAACAGGGAATATAACTGTGACTCTTTTCACTCTAGACTGTAATCTTGGCATCTTCTTTGGCCTGTTTCTCTCCTTTGACCCAAACATCCAGAACATGTCTAAATCTTACCACATCCACTTGAATGTTTCTACGTTTTAATAATTCCATTCTGTTTACACTGCCCAATTTTTTTCTTTTTGTCAGTGCCCTGGCTATTGTGTGCCCTGTAGTATTGGTATGTACAGAGATCAGCTCTGTTCAAAATTGCTGTAGTTTTAACCTCAAAGTGCCTTTGTTGTCTCCTGTTCTTCAGACACATCAAATACATACATTTGGTTATTCCTTCCTAATTTAGTCCTGTGATTCTGATAGTTTTTCACCATGTGGACAACTGTTGCATCTTTTTTAATAGCTTTGGGCACGGTTGCCCAGCTCTTCAGAAAAACATTTTGTACTTTCTCTTGTATCAGCATAGAAAGGTTAATCATATTCTAGGAAGTCCTCTTCAAAGTTTCACTTCAAGCCTTCCATACTGTATTCATCAAAGTAATAATAATTAGATCTAATTATTACTGTATGTAATTGTGCCCTTGCTCTAATCCGTGCCCTTTTTACAGGAGGGAAGAGATTAACAATATGGTGCCTAACTTGGAAACTTTCACAGGGTAATATTTCAGGAAATTATGAGACACATCAGTGCTCTCCAGATTCTCCTTTTTGTGTATTTCTGTGACAAAATTGTCTCGGATGTGGTTGACAGCTTTCTCAAGGACCGAACTTCATCTTGGCCAAAATGCATCTATTCTGTTTGAGATTCATTTTTAAGAATGGACTTATATTTAATCAAGTTCTTTAAACAAAGTCTCCTTTGAAACTGGAAACAAAAGAAAGTTAAACCAGCTATGTGGTTTAAATAGCTTGGCTTTCTTATCATAATCTGGAATCATTTCCGTGGAAATTCTTGTGTATGATTGAAGAATGGGTAAATCGATGGCTTGCTGAGGGAACAATATTCTACTACCTGACTACTGGTATAGTGTAGAGCATATGTTAAAAAAAAAAGACCTGTGAGAAGAGAGGACGTATCTTGTGTTGGAGCTCTGAGTTAATAAATTACTGCATTTGCTGCTTTTCTTTCATTCATATCCATGAGGAAGTTGATGTCTGAATACCATGTTTTTCATTATTTTTTCTTTGAATATTACAGTTTGATAAAGTAATTTGTAAGTTAATATAAAGACAGTTAAGACGATGCAGGCAGTAACTGTCTATGTGTACCTCAACTTTGTTATCACTTTTACATCAGATGCTTGAAAAATAATGAAGTGGCATTATTACAGCCATAATCAGTTAGCAAATAAAACCCCAACTCACAGAAGAAGTATTACACCTCCAGAAAACCCGTACAACTGTGGTTCACTTAGGGAAATCAGAAGTCTTAGCCAAACTTGGATGAATGTTTGGAGAAACATAAGCTTTATGTTTTATCTTTCTAATATGGTGGCAAACACTGTGGCTGCTCTGTTTGGTAAACTGTAGAAACATGTGCTGCATCTAGCAACTAGAGCTGCTTGTATGATCTGATATTTGTCTGTGTATAATGTGCTATCCTTTCAAAGCAGGCTATGATATCAGTTGCTAAGACGTCCGAATGTCTTCAGTGCTAAAGGCCTAGAGAGATCTGCGGTGGTTCACAGGCAACCAGATGTAATGGAAACAAGTGACTGCAGGATACCTAGATGTAGTTACTAAGGGAATTAAAAAAAATCACATAGAAAAGAGGCTTCTTGTGCAAGTGTAGTCACTATGCATAATGTCAGTATACTTGCAATAAGATGTTGTATACGTATTTGTCATGTCTAAGGGTGGGAAAGCGAGATCCAGTTGCATTCCACATTGAGCAAAGCAGTCAGGTTCAAAGGTAAGTCAGAACATTTTCATCTTCATCCTGTGGCAGCAAAGACCAAGTTACTACAAATTACGTCTTTTAGTTTAATTTGTCAAAAACAGGCACATGGCAGAGAAAACTGGAAAGGAGTAGTGGAAAAAAGTTGTTCCTTGTATGATGAGATGTCTCTACTGGATGTAGCACTTGTCAGTTTAAAAAGTGTGGGTGATAGCACTAGAAGATGGAGCTGCTATGATACGCCGTTGTTAGATGAAATTTCCTATTTCTGGCGGAGGAACGTATCAATGCGATGATCCAAGCTGTAGCTCAGCAGCAACAAACTTTGAGGAACAATCAGTGAGCAGCAGAAATATTGTATCAACCTAATTAAACACTAACTCTTTAGAAAGCCAGAAATCTTTATCAGGTCTCTGAAGTTTTTTCTGATGCCCATGTTTTTGTTTTTATCAAGAGAAGCAGCAGCATGCTGGCTTCTGGTACTGTATCCAGATGCTTCTACTACTATATTTTTTAAATCTAATCTATCAGCCTCCTCATCTGGACAAACCTGGATGATTCTGAAACGGACCAATGTGCGCATCTCCAGATAAGCATATAATGATGTATACCTCTACAGCTGAAATGTATTTTGATCATGCCCTAGTTCTCACTTTAAAGGTGAAATTGTTAATAGACAATGTTTTTTTAATGTTTTACAAGCGGCATCTGTCGATGCTGATGTGATTTCAGTAGTCAGGCCACGTATAATCTGCATAGTCCTTTAGTCTAAAACTTCATATTAGCTTTATGGAAAGTTTTAATGGAATTGCATAACTTTTTAAAACATCTTTATGCAATATATAATGTATGCATTTGAAAAAAAATATTTAAGAAGTCATTCAGAAGTTATCCATTTAAATAAATGATGATGTGTCTGGCTGAATTTTTTCCTCAAGGTACCAGGAATTTGGATGCTTATTTCCTAATAAAAATAGAGATAATGGACTATCAAGTTCAACAAATAGCTGTCCAAATTCTGGCTTTAAGATATTAGAGAACTTCGTAATTATATACGATATTGATTTTTTTACATGAGCTTATTTGGAGAATAGTGGGATAGTTTATTTTTTTGACAATAAAAATGCAGAAGCTGTCAAATGTGAAATTTTTGCCAGATTTCACTTTCTCAGAGCTGATTATTTGAGTACAGTTTGTCATCCTATAGTATAAGCAAAACTGAAGATTAATAATAAAACAGAAAATAGGTGACTTCATATGCAGCATCTCTCTACAAAAAGTTTACTTTATGCTGATTCATGTTTTATTATAAAATCTACACCTTCAGTGAAATATCATTAAACTTTGGAACACATTCTAATATTTTTATGGCAATTCAGTCCTTAGCTTGC